CCCCAAAACCCCAAAACCCCAAAACCCCTAACTCATGAGTTTACTTGTAAATATTTCTTTTTGATATTGTTAATAGGACCAATGAGTGACCACAAATACCAGTGCAATACAAAACAGTGAGACAGAGAAGCAGCCCACTACTGCATCTGCCACCAGTGATTCGTGTGAGACAGATGCAATGGTAATAGACATTATGGGTGAGACTTGATGAAAATATGACATGGTAAGCAATTAAGAGATATTTCAAAGTTGCTCCATGATTTTGTGGATGGGCTCAAGAACAAAGCTGCTCAGTATGATTTGGTCGAGAATATACAAGGACTTGAACAAGCACTCCAGGATGTCAATGATGTTGTCAAGATGTTCCAAGCCAATGTTGCTCAATGCTTCGAACAAGATAAGCATGTAGATTTCTCGAAACTTGTGTTCCAAGGCAAACAGATATTGTCAGACATCTTTGAAGGAACTATCTTTGGTAACATAGCAAAATCAAATCCGATTTTGAGACTTCTGTTTGACAGCCAAGTGCTGGACACTCAGAATGGATACTTGATTCCTCCAATGGGAGACATCGAGGCTCTTGTGAATTTGAAATCTAAAGATCTTGTGAGAAAGCTAGCTAAAAGGAACAAAGAATCATTAGAGAAGCGAAAACTAAAAGAGCTGATCGAAGCTCAACGAGAAGTAGAGGAGAGACTAAAGACTCAATATCTGCCTCATATATCTGAATTAGGTGACGAAATCAATGAGCTGAGGATGGAGATATTTGAGGCAAATAAGACGATTAAGAGCTTTGAAGATGTTATCTCTAAGAAATAATAAAAAGATCAAAGAGGAAATAGCCAAGAAATCTGATTTTTATTTGGAATTAAATAATCTCCAGTCTCACTCGAATCATGTGCATAGTCAGAGACATACATAAATAGAATAGCTACTCCAAGTAAAAGCAAGAATAAAAATCCTGAGACTTCTCGATTTAGCGATTACACCCATTTCGCAAAGATTATCTTAGTTGGAGCCTCGTCTATTGGGAAGACTTGAATAATTCATAGAATAGCGGGAGGTGATATGCCTACATCATTTTTTCCAACGATCGGAGTGGATTTCAAGCTCATTAAAAGGACATTTGGAGAGAGGAAGTTGAAGCTACAAATTTGGGATAGTGCTGGAAATAACAGATTCCAGGAATGTACAGAAGTCTATGTCGCAAAAGCTCAATGTATATTCTTGGTGTATGACATTACTGAGGTAAAATCTTTCAAAAGATTAGAGAGCTGGATCAAAGTAATTAGAAAGGACTGCACAGATGACGTCATAACCTACTTGATTGGCAACAAGAATGACCTGGGAAAAGAGAGAGAAATTAGTTTCGAATCAGCAGCTGAATTTAAAACCAAGCATGATCTTGATTTTTACTTTGAAGTTTCTGCTAAAACTAACGAAGGGATTGAAGAGCTTTGACAGCATGCCTGAAAGCAACTCATTATGCAAATAGACTCAAATTTAAAGAAGGCAAAGCCTAAAAAGAAGAAACGTTTTATTCTCTTCTAGTTTCATTAGTTTTGTGGTCAAAATCTTATCTCAGCCAAATTCTTCAAAAATTGTTAAAGTTAAAGGGGTTTTGGGGTTTTGGGGTTTTGGGGG